TGAGCTGTGGTGCTGGAGAAGAGTATTGACAGTAACATGGATTGCTAGGAAAACAGATTCATCCTGGAAAGGGTCAAACCGGGCGGCTCCTTGGAGGCAAGGATTCTGAGGCTCTGTCTAACATACTTTGGACATGTTATACATCATGCTTGGGAGGGTGGAGGGACAGCACAGGAGAGGAAAGCCCTCTATGAGGTGGATTGATTCAATGGGGTAACCGGGATGAGTGTATCAGAGACAGTGCGATTGGCACAGGACAGAGCAGAGTTTAGGGCTGTTGTACATAGGGTCGCTATGAGTCACAAACGACTCGATGGCACATAACAACAACAACAACAAGCCTGATGGAGCTTCCATAGAAACCAAGGCTTTTAAACAATACGATAGTTCATGTTGCATTGGGGAAGCTAAAAGCTGTTAGAAGTTATTGCTAAAGTTTCAGTTAATTAAACGTGAAAGAGGTCAACATCAGATGTACTGGAAAAAGAAGATACGATAAATATTGCAAAAATTAAAAAATAAGCTTCTTGAGGGCATAGGTCTAAATATTTGTTAAATAAATGAATAAATTTTTGATGGTGAAGCAGTACATTCTAATGGCTGGAGTCAGACTGACTAATGGAGTTCAAAGCTGGCTCTTCCTTTCACTTGCTCTATGACTCTGGGAAAACCACTTAACCATTCTCTCTATGCCCCCGCTTCCTTCCCTAAGACTGGGCCTAGTAATATAGTGTCTAGAGCACAAGATGGCCTTGAGGATGAAATATATATAAAGTTATCAGAAGAGTGCCTGATACACACATGTCATATAAATAATTTGTGTTCGTAAATTATTTTTATTACTGGAGCATTTTAGATTTACAAGAACTTTAGAAGTCATTTGGGGAGAAGGGTCTTAGTTCTAGAGTGTTAAGTCTGGTGAGCCAGTGAGAATGGTAGTGAGAGCAGATGCTTAGAAAGGCTGAGCTTAGAGATTTAACTCCCTCCACTCAAAGCACATACTAAAAAAGATCAAAGATTACAGTCTTTGATATGGATTATACCTCAACATAAGTAAAACAAAAATCCTCAGCACTGGACCAATGTCATGATAGATGGAAAAAAAGATTAATTTTACTTGGATCTACAATCAACACCCATGGTGGAAGTAGTCAAGAAATAAAAAGGGGGAAAAAAATCAAAAGAATTATTGCATTTGCCAAATTGCCATCAAGGACTTCTTCACAGTGCTAAACTGAAAAAAAAAATATCAGTTTAAACAATAATGTGCACCTAATCTAAAGTATAAAGGACTTTGTTGTGTTGTATATCATATAGTCAGAACTGACCCACAGCTGACCCTCTGGCAGGTTTTCAGAGGCAGCTAATCACATGGGAGGAAACTGCCCATCCTTCTTCCACAGAGCAGCTGTGGCCTTGAACCAAGTGCCTTCAGAATGGCAATGCAGCTTCTTGCCACTAGACCAGAGCTCTCCAGTGGCATCCACTTCCTAAACAACATGACTCCAGAAACTCTATGAACTTTGATAAATGTCGATAGTTGTAGAGAGGCTTCAGGCCTTTTGTTTATAGGGTCACTATGAGTCATGCTCAACTCAAAGGCAATCAACAACACAACAACAACAATTTAAAGCATAGTATTTTCCATTGTGTCCTATGCATCTGAAAATTGGACAATGAATATAATCAAAGAATTGACGTGTAGGAACCTTTGAATTGTGGTGCACTCCAAAAGCACTGATTATACCATGCACTGCCTAAAGAACAAATCTGTCTTGCGAGAAAATGCAACCAGAGTTCTCCTTAAAGGCAAGAAAGGTGAAACTTGGTCTCACATACCTTGCGGATGTTATCAGGTGGGATGGGACCAGTCCTCGGAAAAAGACATCATGCTAGGGAAAGGGAGAGTGTCAACAAAGCAGGAGAAGACTCTCAATGAGACAGTGACACAGTCTGTAAGACTGGGCTCAAGTATGGCAGAGATCAGGAGGATGGCACAGAATAGGGCAAGGTTTGAATCTGTTCTTTATATGGTCACTGAGTTATAGTTGACTTGACAGCACCTAACAACAACATTTATCTTTGTTCCTCACATTCCTGGAAACTCTTACCAGGCTCTACTCCCACTAACCTCTTCTAGCTCCTCCAACTGGTCAAATTCTTTCTTACCTCTGGACCTCCCCACTATTGGTACCAACTTGGACCAACAAGAGATGTTTAACTATTTAGTAGATTAATTTGGGGATCTTCCAAACAGAGTTGACAGTTAAATCCATAGAGCAGCAGGGAGAAAAGTGCAACAATGAATGAATGGAAATCCAATTATCTGTGTAAATGTTCATTAAAATTAATAAAATACAATTTAAAGAAAAATCCATAGAGCATCAAATTGCCAGGGAAGAAAGCTGAATGGGGGCGGGGGGGGGGGAGGTGAAACTTGTGAAAACAAAGAAATATTTAGAGAAAAGTGCCCTGCTGGCCCAGTGGTTAAGATGCTGGGCTGTAAAGCACACCGTTCAAATCCAGCAGCCTTTCCTTAGAAGATGAATGTAGCAGTCTATTTCTGTAACGACTTAAAGCATTGTAAGCCCAAAGGGCATTTTTATAGTCTCCTACAGTGTTACTGAATCAGAATTAGCAAGGGTAAATTTTATTCACAGAAGCAAGATAATTAGAATAGTTTTAAGATGTGTAACACTGATTCAGAAACAACTTTATACAGTCATGGTTTAAGGTTTTTTGAGTAGAATTCAGTGCTTGAAGAATGTGGGATCAGGACTGGAAGAAGACTTATCAATAACCTTTGTTAGACAAATGACACAACCTTGCTTGCTGAAAGTGAGGAGGATTTGAAGCACTTGTTACAGAAGATCAAACAATGCAACCTTCAATGTGTATTGCATCTCAATGTCAAGAAAATAAAAATCCTCACCACTAGACCAGTAGGTAACATCATGGTGGACACAAAAAGGATTGAAACTGCAAAAGATTTCATCTTACTTGGATCCACAATCAACACACTTGGTACCAGTAATTAGGAGACTTATTGCACTAGCAAAATCTGTAGTTGGGAACCTCTAAATTATTGATTGAGGCACAATGACGTCAGTTCGAAGGCTAAAGTGCCCCTGATTTAGGCCATGATTTTTTTTTTCAATCACCTGCTATGCATCTGAGAGCTGGACAAGGAATAAAGATGATGGAAGAACTGATGTCTTTGAACTGTGGTGTTGGAGACGATTGCTGAATTGTCTATGGACTTCAAAAAGAAAAGCACAGCATTATCTTGGAGAAGTTGCAACCAGAGCACTCCTTGGAGGCAAGGATGATGAAGTTTTGTCTCGCACACTTTGGACATGTTGCTAGGAGAGGCTATTCCTTGGAGAGGGGCATCATGCTTGGAAAGGTGGAGGGTCAGTGAAAGAAAGGAAGACACACACACACACAGATGGATTGACACAGTGATTGCAGCAATGGGCTCAAGTATGTAAGAGATAATGAAGACGGCACAGGGTTCAGATTTGATGGTCATATGAATCAATTCTATAGCCCCAAAGAACAACGCTCAGAAGAAGCAAAGTGAGATGATGTTTGAGGTGGATCACTTCACTTGGCATAACTGAACTCCGAGAAGTAATTTCTCACGAGGTGGGGGAAGAAGAGAGAAAAGTAAGGGGGAGGTGGGGAAGTCAACTAACAAGACTATGTTTTCCTCAAAACGTTTGATAAGGAACAGAAACGATTACAGGGAGAAACTGTGGTTTAAGGGCTGCTCTGGGAGAAGAAGGAAGCAAATGGTGAGACAAACTAAAGAAACTTGAAATAAAAGCACCAAGCTAGGTCCTGGAGCCGCTATGCATCTCTATTTGCACTCTGATGCTCCCAGAAGCTATTGTCTAGTTCAGAGATTTCTCAGCTGAACAAATGAACAAACCCTCCAGGGGACGGATGTCGCCCCCACTCAGCTTTGGCCAGAGCGAAGGCAGAGACGCGGCTGCCTTCGACAAAGCCAGGCCCCAGTGGCCCAAAGTCAGAGAGGCAGGCTCGGCTGCAGCCCAGTTTCGGCCCCAGGGACCCCGGCCCTCCGACTCCGAGTTCTGGAAGTGAGAGGAAGGGGTCGGGAGCGTGACCTGGGAGTCTGAGAACGTGCAGAGAACGTGGCCAATTTCCTCGAAAGTGGGGCGTAAAGGACAGGGTGCTTCGTACATCCAACACATCCATGTGCGGATCGGATCCAAGGGGTCGGACCAAGCAGCAGTGGAAGGAAAAGGTGCTAATTTAGAACAAGCGTCTCAAAACTCTGGAACGCTCTAGGAGCATAAACAAGTCTGGAGAGCTCTTCCAGGAGATTCCCACCACTGTAGCCTCTGCCTGGGGTGAAGGCATGGAAAAGGCCGGGGGCACCGCGATGGGGGCGGGCGCAGGCGTAGTCTCGCGATAGGAGCCCGGTCCGAGCGGAGGTGGCACCACTTCCCTCCTCCTCCTCTTCGCGTTAGTTCCGGTCGCAGAGGAGACACCGCCGCAGTTACCGCCACATCCAGGGTTTCTGGCTCTTTTCTCTTCGCCTTAAATTCGGTAAAGTGCGCCGGCTGTTTACACCAGCCCGAGCGTGGGAAGGGGGTCTCGACGCCGGGCAGATGAGGCGGCGGGCCCAGGGCAGCCCGACGCGCGGAGTGGCTGGAGCGGAGGCCGCCGCATGAGGCCGGGCCGGATCAGGGGCCCGGATTCGAGCACCGGGGCCCCCGCGTTGGCGGAGAGGCCGCGGGGTGACGGCGACCCCGCCGGGATGTGGGGATCCGGGTGCGCGCGGCGGCGCCGGAGCGGGAGGCGGCGGCCGAGGCGGGTCCCCCTCCGGGCCCTGCCCAGCCTGGGTAACAAAGCCGTGGCGACCTCTGTTGGGTGATGTACGCGTGGGGGCTTCCGGGCGGGCGGGGCGGGAGGAGCCGCCACCACCACTACCGCCGCCGCCTCGGCCGCTGCTTTCGCTGGAGGGCGAGCGGATGTACGGGGCGGCTGGGCCCCCGGCGCGGAGTGCCTCGGCTCCTGTGGTCCGCTCGTTGCGGCGGCCGCCACCGCAGGCATCGGCATCAGCGGAGAGGAGCCCGCGGGGCTGGGCGGGCGCTGCGCCTCCCGAGCCGGAGTCCCGGGCGGGCTGTGGGTAGGGAGACACGTGCCCGGGGAGGAGGCCGGGAGTGGGGCAAAGGAGGCTTGGCCTGCTGCTCTCGGTTGGTGTTGCAGGAGCGGGTGGTGCAAGCGGCCTCTGCAGTTCCAGGCACGAGTTAAGGAAGGGTTGGTAGCAGGCGCTTTCGAAGCGAGACTTCGGCTTGTAACAGAGCCCTAGGGTTGGCAGACACGTTTCGAATACCTCTGACTCTGGAAGTCGTTCTGTCGCGTAACTTAAGTGTATGGCTTTGGAATCATACAGACGTATGGAGCCTTAAAGAGGAACAAGGAAGAATGTAAATTTAATCTTTTTATGATGGGATGACTGGCACCCGTCACCGTGACCCTGTTTGAGGATATATTTCACAGCACTTGTTTGAGTGATTTCTTTTGGGGAGAATCTGCAGTTTTTGAAGTTTCAAGGGAAATGGAGCTGGCCGCACCAACTATGTTATCCTCATAAAAGTGTACATTATAGAGGGTTTAAAAAAAAAAAATCCTGTTTTGACAGTAATTTTTTTATAAAGGCCTTACTTTTCTTTTCCTAGGGTGTCTTTTATGAATAATCAAAAGCAGCAAAAGCCAACGCTATCAGGCCAGCGTTTTAAAACTAGAAAAAGAGGTAAATGTTTCTCCTTTAATACAGCTCTTTGAATTTCCAGGGTGTTTTGCATTTATTGGTTCCCCTGGCAGGCAGTTGCTTGGTACTAAAACCTCAAAAGAATATATCAGGAAGGAACTTGAATTTCTAGTTGAGTACGATTTCCTTTAGATACACCTTTGCTTTACCTGGGGTTTTCCCAAGCCACCTTTAGTTTTGAATCAGCGTATTTCTAAGCATACTGGTGAATACTCTTCTTAGTGTTAGCTAGTAAATTCTGACACTTTAATACCAGAGATGATGAGGATCCACAAGAGAGGGCAGAATTCCAGTTTTACAGGGTCAGTAATTTTGCAGTCGGCTTGATGGTACCTAAGAGTAAATGAACATCTGAGAATGATAGCATTAGCAGGATACCATGCAATACTATATGAGTGCCCATTACAAAACCAGGCTTTCTGCTGTTGGGTTTATCCATCTGTGCTTTCAAGCTATAAAGCTTAATGAGAGCAGACTGCTCATTGTCTCCTAGAACAGCAGGGGCATGAAACCACCAGCCTATCACCAGTCCACCACATAATGTGCTACACTACCTGGACACTGTTAAAAGTAAGCGCCACTGCCATTGTAACTCCTAGCAACCCACAGGTTCCTGAGGGTATAAATCTTTATAAGAGGCAGCTTCCTGTCATTCTCCCTTTAAAGTGGCTGATGAATTTCTGCTGCTGGCCAAATAATGTTTTGCCCTATGCCACCATGGCCTCTTCACATACTTCAATAAGATGAAACCACCATATCCTCAAAAAAGGCCACAGGTAACAAATACATCTTAAATCAGAGACTGTTTATATTGAACGCAGTAGCAGAGCACTGCACAAGTGATGCAAAGCTAGATAGTATGTGGTGTAAGGTGTTTTGTTTGGGGCACATTGTTCTTGTTGTTATGTGCCGTGGAGTCGCTTGCGACTCATAGCGACCCTATGTACAACAGCCCTAAACTCCGCTCTGTCCTGTGTCAATCGCACTGTCTCTTGACACTCCCATCCCAATTACCCCAGTCACTGAATCAATCCACCTCATAGAGGGCCTTCCTCTCCTGCCCTGTCCCTCCACCCTCCCAAGCATGATATCCCTCTCCAGGGACCGGTCCCTCCTCACAACATGTCCAAAGTATGTTAGACGAAGCCTCAGAATCTTTGCCTCCAAGGAGCCACCTGGTTTAACCCTTTCCAGGACAAATCTGTTTGTTTTCCTAGCAGTCCATGTTACATTCAATACTCTTTTCTAGCACCACAGCTCAAAGGCATCAATTCTCCTTCTATCCTCCCTGGTCATTATCCAACTCTGATGCATAACAAGTGATTGCGAAGACCATGGCCTGTATCAGACGCACCTTAGTCTCCAGAGAGACACCATTGCTCTTCAGTACTTTGGAGAGGTCCCTAACAGCAGACTTTCCCGTGGCAATGCGCCTTTTAATTTCCTGGATGCTGGTGCCAAGACTTGACTACGGGGCCAAGCAGACTAAAGCTGTGTACAATCTCAGTCTCTTCACCATCCATCCTGATGCTGCCAATTGGTCCAGTGGTGAGAATCTTTGTCTTCTTGACATTGAGCCTCAATCCATATTGTAGGCTGCAGTCCTTGACACTCTGCAGCAGGCGCTTCAGGTCCTCTTCCTTTTCAGCAAGCAGGGTTGTGTCATCCGCATAATGCAGGTTGTTGATAAATCGTCCACCAATCTTGACCACACATTTCTCCTCATAGAGCCCAGCCTCCCGGATAATCTGTTCTGCATATAGGTTGAAAAGGTGTGGAGATAGATAGGATGCATCCCTGGCGTTCGTCCTTCCCAATTTTGAACCATGCAGTGTTCCCTTGCTCTGTTCTGACAACTGCCTCCTGGTCCAAGTATAAGTTTCGCATTAGAAAGATCAAGTGTTCTGGGATTCCCATTCTTCTCAGAGTCAGCGACAGTTTGTTATGATCTACACAGTCAAATGCCTTTGCATAGTCAATGAAACACAGATAGACATTCCTCTGGTATTCCCTGCTTTCAGCCAAGATCCATCTAACATCAGCTACAATATCTCTAGTACCACAACCCCTTCTAAACCCAACATTAGTTCCCCAAAACATTTAAATATTACTTGCTCAAAAGCACATATTATCCTTATTTTACAAGATGTTTGAAAAAGAACTGGGTCAGGTATTGATCCTAAATTTGTTTTCTTTTTGTACACCAAGTGTCAAACACTTGACCATGATTGCTTGAGAAGGTGTTGCGAGGGCCAAAGTAGTTTGATTCTAGCTTGTCCACATTCATACACATTTGACCAAGACATTTCAAGGCAGCAGACGATTTAAAGTCAGAACAGTACTGGTGGTAGTGCCTTTATATAAATAATGTTAGCAGGTAACTATTGGATGATGATGTCACTTCCAAGTTCCACCTAGAAATAACTTAGGTTCCAGTTACCAGCTAGAGTTCTGAATAGGATGACCTGCCATCCTGATTGATGTGAGATTGAGCAATCCCTGGAATATGGACGAAGAGCAAGGCAAACAAGGAAGAGTTAATCACACACACACAACACACACACACACACACACCCTCCCCCTCAGATTCCTACTCTTAGCAACTCTCCACTGGGTATCTGAGGCTGTGTGTGTCTTTTTTTCCCCCCAAGGAGGAGTCACTGTTCCTTTGAAACATCATCAGCCTTTGGGTTAGCAGGACTTGCACCTGATTACCAGAGCTCCCTTTGATCTTTGTTTAGTAAGGAGTGGGTGACAGCGACTCATGTGCTTAGTTAGGCGGGTGCCCAAAACAACATTCTGAGTGCTTTGCATTTGTGACTTTTTTTTTTTTAGAGAATATTAGTTTCTGTAATCAAACCCATGTAGATAAGACCTTACATATTTAATACCGTGCATTACCCCTGTACAAGCATTTGTGACATTTTATGTTCATAACAGTTTCATAAGCGTGGCATTGCCCTTACTGTAGGGAGTTTGAACTCTAGAGAATGAAATTAGTTGCTCAGATTCACACATTTGGTAGGTGATCAGAATTTCAGTCAGGTAGTTCAACTCCAGAGCCCATTCTTAAAGCATAGTATGCAGTATGGTCCTGTAATTATCTGGATTTTTCCAACCCACAATTTCTCTTCTGAATAAGAGAATCAAAATGTTGTTCTGAAGATTAAAGCAAGTAATAACAGTTTCTGTTACCTGTTTAGTGATTAATAATATACATTTTAAAGAGTATCTTAGTAAAACAAAGAATTTTTCTTTTACTCTTCAAAGAGAAGAGGGTACTTGGGGGGAAGGAGGTGGGGAGGGGAAAAAAGTGCAACAGTGAATGAATGGAAATCTAAAGTTTCTGTAAATTTTCATTAAAGTTAATAATAAAGAGAATTGGAGGGGGGAGTATCTTAAACACTAAATGGTATAAAACAAAGTACTGTAGCCATTCAAAGAAAAAAAACCCAGAGCCCCAGTTAGTCCAAGGGTGAGAGGTGCTGTTCAATTTAAATGTACATTGCATCTGGGACCAAACTTCACTAAGGTTTGGAGAATGGCTTAATTTTCAGAAAAGCCAAAAAGTAATGATAAAACATTACAGGTAGAAAATTGGCCAGGGCCACTGTTTGAAAAGGTGGTAGAAGGTGTGTACTAACGGGATGAACTTGCATAGGATATATATTTATTTAGTCTCTTGTTTGTCTGTTATATGTAGGTCTTAGGTAATCTGGCTTCTGTTTCCAGCTCTTAAATGAAATGAAATTTTTTTCAATATGGGTACAGCTTTGTAAGATGATGATGATCTTTAAATGTTTTTAATTTCTTCCCTCAGATGAAAAAGAGAGGTTTGACCCTACTCAGTTTCAAGACTGTATTATTCAAGGCTTAACTGAAACTGGTACTGATTTGGAAGCAGTAGCTAAGTTTCTTGATGCTTCTGGAGCAAAACTTGATTACCGCCGATATGCAGAGACACTCTTTGACATTCTGGTGGCCGGTGGAATGCTGGGTAAGTGGCTGGGACTTGTGGGCTTAGTAATTAATTTAGGGAAAGTGTGTATATGGAATTGAAAATTACGAATATGAACAGTTTTGCGGTGCGTGTACTGTCAGATTGGTTCTGGCTGGCACAGGAAGAGATTGCCCCTCCTCCTCCAGCAGAGCATGTGGTAGATTTGAACTGTGTGCTTTGGGCTTGCAGCACAGATTCTTGCCACTAGGCCACCAGAGCTCCCTTGAATGGTTGTTTTTATCCCCTAACCCTATCCCTCTTTTCCCTTCTGAAATCAGAGTCAGTTGGCAGGTTGCCTTATCTAGTTTACATCCATAATGACTGGAGTGGTACATATGTGACACATAATGACCCTACAGCATCCCTGATATGTTGGGTTAAAACACATTAAAATTAGCTATAGTTTTTTAATGAAGATTTTAAATTGCATACATGGTCTTGGATTTCTGTTGATCAATGCTAAACTCCATTTACATACATACATATGTCTCTTAGGCTTAGAAAGGCCTAAGTGACTTGCAGTCAAATAGTTATTCAGTAATTCAGTCAGGAACTTGAAATTCATAACTTCTAATGCCTAGCCAAATCAGTGTTTTTCATTATGTTGCAAATTTATAGTGAAGAGAAAATGACCAGTTTCAGTTTATAGATTCAGTGCAATAAGGCAGTTGAAGAGGCTCTTTTCCTCCCCCTTCAAAAACATTCACTAAGAAGGAGCTCTGGTGGCATAGTGGCAAGAAGCTGCACTGTAATCCCAAAGGTTCATGGTTTAAATCCACCAGATGTTCCTCTGAAGGAGGGGCAATCTCCTCCTGTGCCATTCGATTCATTTGACAGTGTACAACAAGAAAACAGACAGACATCCACTAAGGAAGTTTTCTGAGCTCTGGTGGTCTAGCGGTAAGGAGTTGTGCTACCAAAGGCAGTTTGGATTTATCTTCCTTGAGAGAAGGATGGTCAGTCAGTCTCCTGTGTGATTTACAGGCTGTGAAAACCCACTGTAACTATAAGTTGGTTCCAGGTTGAGAACACACAAGGAAATTTTTTGATAAAATATCCTAGAGACATTTGGTATAAGGAGCTTCTGACTAGTATATTCCCAGGAATGTCTTTTAAAGTTTGAAGGAGCTCACGGAGCATGGTGTTGCTCTGCTAACTTTGAGGTCAGCAGTTATAATTCATCAGTGCTCCTGTTAAGATTTATAACCTCAGAAAACAAACAGAAGGTCACTGAATTGGAATTTACTTCAACAGCAGTGTGTTTTCGAATCTTGACAGGGTGGAAGCTTTTCATGTCAGATCCTGCTGAGCATCTCCACTTGCGTGACACACTTGGCATTATTAAATTTTCAATGCATTGAGTTTCATTGGGATGCTAAAGTTAGATATCATATTTATTAAACTAGCTAGCCAGTGCGCTCTTCAGCAGCACATACACTAAGCCAGCTGTGTTCCTACTGGCAAGTCAGTTTTGCTGTTATGCATTTCTTAGAATTTAATAATTGTGGTTTTGAATTTTTATATAAAGTAAAATTTATTAATAATTTAGAATTCAACTCATTGCAAAATTTTTGTAAACTCCACCTTAGCCCCAGGTGGTACACTGGCAGATGACATGATGCGCACAGATGTCTGTGTGTTTGCAGCACAAGAAGACCTGGAGACCATGCAAGCATTTGCTCAGGTAAATGAAATTAATTTTTCAGTTGGCTTTTAATCAATTTGACTACTGTATAAGAATATGTAAGAAAACATTTTAAGGTTGAAAGTTCTAAGAGTTTATGTTTTCATTGATGTTTTTCATGTCAGCAGAGAATTGCCAGAAGTCCAGGCTGGGTTTAGAAGGGGTCGTGGTACTAGGGATATTGCAGCTGATGTTAGATGGATCTTAGCTGAAAGCAGGGAATACCAGAAGAATGTCTGTTTCATTGATTATGCAAAGGCGTTTGACTGTGTGGATCGTAACAAACTGTGGCTGACTCTGAGAAGAATGGGAGTCCCAGAACACTTGATCATGCTAATGCGAAACCTATACTTGGACCAAGAGGCAGTTGTCAGACAGAGCAGGGTAACACTGTGTGGTTCAAAATTGGGAAAGATGTACGCCAGGCATGTGTACTGTCTCCATACCTTTTGAACCTGTATGCAGAGCAGATTATCTGAGAGGCTGGGCTCTATGAGGAGAATTGTGGCATCAGGATTGGTGGAAGATGTACTAACAGTCTGCATTATGCAGATGACACAACCCTGCTTGCTGAAACTGAGGAGGACCTCATGCACTTGCTGCAGAGGGTTAAGGACTGCAGCCTTCAGTATGGACTGAGGCTCAATGTCAAGAAGACAAAGATTCTCACCACTGGACCAATTGGTAGCATCAGGATGGATGGTGAAGAGATTGAGATTGTTCGCAGCTTCAGTTTGCTCGGCTCCACGGTCAACACTCTTGGCACCAGTAGCCAGGAAATCAAAAAACGTATTGTGATGGGAAAGTCTGCTTTTAGGGACCTCTCTAAAGTACTCGAGCAATGGTGTCTCTCTGGAGACTACGGTGCGCCTGATATAGGCCATGGTCTTTGCAATCACTTGTTAAGCATCAGAGAGTTGGACAATGACTAGAGAGGACAGAAGGAGAATTGATGTCTTCGAGCTGTGGTGCTGGAAAAGAGTATTGAATGTACCATGGACTGCCAAGAAAACAAACAGATTCATCCTAGAGAGGGTTAAATCAAGCTATTCCTTGGAGGCAAGGATTCTGGGGCTTCGTCTGACATACTTTGGGCATGTTGCAAGGAGGGACAGGTCCTTAGAGAGGAACATCATGCTTGGGGGGGTGGAGGGATGGTGCAGGAGGGGAAGACTATGAGGTGGATTGATTCAGTGACTGGGGTAATCGGGATGGGTGTGTCAGAGGCAGTGCGATTGGCACGGGATAGAGCAGGGTTTAGGGCTGTTGTACATAGGGTCGCTGAGTCACAAACGACTCGATGGCACATAACAACATTTTTCATGTAGTATCATAAGCTTCATGAGTACTGCAAGATAACGAAGGGAGGGAAGAATTACCCACTTCCTCCGTGAAATTATTTCATCCTTAGAAAAAATAATAAGCTAAAGACAAGAATATGTGCCTTATTCCATTGTTGCATTATTCTGTGTAAAGCTGTTTTAAAAGGTAGATAAATTGTAGATCGTGTAATCCTGGTATGTCCACTTGCTGTACAGAGATAACTTGTGGTTGCTGTGAAGCTGAACACTGTGACACTGATGAGTCAGATGTGAGAAAGGTTACCCATGGTGGATGGTGTTCGGTGAACCTCCCCAGTTAAAACAAGCTTGAAAACAGGAGTGGCATCCACTTCCACAATAAATAGCTTGCCTCGGGAAATGCTATGAAGCTGGAGAAAGGACAAAAGTTACACAGAAGGTGTCCAGGACTTGGGTTCATAGGGTCGCTATGAGTCACTTGCAACTCAGCGGCACTTTAACAAGAACAGATGAATTGCAGGAAGATTAGTTTAATGACCAAAATCTCATTTGAGAATTTCATATTTATATTACTGCAGGCACCATGTCGGTATTCTGTCTGTCACATTCTGAAATGGTGGTGGTTGGTTTTAAAGGTCCAGAATAAACTCATTCTTTATATTTCAATGTGTTAGACATTCTGATGCCCAGAAAAATCTGGTAATAAGGATCATAACATTTATCAAGTGCCAGGCACTGTTCTAAATACAATAATCGATTTCATAGTTTTAAAATTCTGGGAGGCTAGTTTTATCAAATGCATTGTATTTAGGAAGAAACCAAGGCACATAGAGGTTACTATTCTGTCACTGTCTACAATGGATATATAACTTGTGTTTTATTAATAATTAATCCTTGATTTAAAGTACAGTTGTAAACTGTGGGAGATGGTTATTGAAGTGTTAACATTGTTAGTATATTGCAGGCTTCTAGGATTAACAAGCCCTTCTCAAACTGATTTAGAGTGTTGGGAAATTGACTTCTATGTTAAGAGCTAATGCAGGCGGCTGCTATACATTGTGTGCATAGATTCCATCTGTGTCTGGTAGCAGTATCTGTCTGTGTTTTTCATTCAGATTTTGCTATCCGCACAAATATCCTGCAGCCAAAAAGTATCTTGGGATCATAGTACTGGTTTAGTGTTGTCTCTTTGGACTCATTGACCACTGGCCAGCCTCCAAACTCCCACACAGAGCCTTGCAAATAGAGGTATAATTTGGGAAATACAGTATTTTAAAAATCTAGAATAATTTACCACATTTTTTTTCTTTTTATGTAAGAATTTTTCTTTTCAAAGAGAGATAATGAGACCATTATCTTTCCAGGTTTTTAACAAGTTAATCAGGCGCTACAAATACCTGGAGAAAGGTTTTGAAGATGAAGTTAAAAAGGTATGAGGAGCAGTACACTTTGTGGGGGGAAATAAGGTTAAATCAGAGAACTATTAAGTGCAGTTTTGGAATCTTTCTAATTTTGTTACATAAACTATTTAATAGCTCTGTCAACATTTTTTTAAGAGGAAAAAGACTCGAAAGTGAAATGAATGTAGTTTGAATATTAACTCATTAATGATATTTGTTTCAATCTTTTTGACATTTTAATATACAGATTTGCAGAAAATCATACAAGGATAATACATACCAGACATAATCGCATGCCAGACACTAATTACAGTAATACATTTCATAGTCCCCCACACCTGGAGACTGCTTATACTAACCACATTGTACTTACCAAGGCACATAGAGAGAGGTTAACTAGCTCTTCACTCAGGAGATACAGACATGGATGCTTAGAACCCCTACTTTTTCTGATACAGTGTGCTTTACTAATTATCTTAATGTAATGCCTTTGTTCTTTTTCACTTTTGTAGCTGCTGCTGTTCTTAAAGGGTTTTTCTGAGTCTGAGAGAAACAAGCTGGCTATGTTGACTGGTGTTCTTCTGGCTAATGGAACACTTAATGCATCCATTCTTAATAGCCTTTATAATGAGAATTTGGTTAAAGAAGGTAATCAACTTTTGAAGATCTTTAGTTAACTGGGGATAGGGTAAATAAGAACCTGAAAGATTAATTGAAAAATCAGTATAACTCTTGGAGGATTGGTGGTTGGATTTTTTTGGTTCGTTTTGGGGGGATTTGAGTTTTTTGTTTTGTTTTGCTTGGGAAGTTTGTATACATTATGCTTCACACTATCCTTCATTCACATTGTGTTTCCTACAGTCATCCCCTATTCATTGTATTCTATAAAAATTAATCCATGAACCATGCCCACCATTGCCCTCTTTCCAGATCCCCCCCACTGGATCTTTCCTGCTTTCTTTACTCTCCCCTCCCTCCACCTTCCAAATAGTGCAAGTCTATGATTTCCTCCCTCTGATCTTTTCCCCTCTCCTTCCATTCCACCATACCCCCCTTGGATCTCATAGATGTTTTACTAGTTATCTTTCTGTTTTTACAATAATGAGCTTGTGTGGTATTTGTCCTTATGAGACTGGGTTTTTTCACTCAGCATAATGCTCTCCAGCCCTTCTCAAGTTACATTGTAATTTTCTAAATCATTGCATTATTGGCTATTCTCTAATTTCATATGCTCATTCACCATAGTAGACAATTACCTGTAGTGCTTCGGGTTAGACTGTCTTCAGGTATACAGAAATTCTCTAAGATCTTCATAAAATTCAAGTATGTAATGAAAGTAAATCCAAATTCAGTAAGAATCCCAGAAAGATTCATTCCAATTGTGAGATTTTAGGATCATCTTTAATAGAAAAGATGACGTTAGAGGAAATATCAAGCTATGAGGAAAAATCGTTCCCTTTTGTGATTTCCATAGTTGAATTGCTCTGCAGAATAATGACAAAGCTAGCTGAGTACTTGGCATGCCTTACTTTAATTCTTGGAAAAGTCCCTGACAGGCACAGGATTTTTACCCTCAGTGTACTCGATAGTAAATTGGTAAAAATTTAGAATGAATCAAGTAATCCTTGCGCATTTGAAGTGTATGAAGCAGAAGAACTAGTAGTAATTGTTGAAAATCAAAGTATTTCTATTAAACTCTAATTCTTTCATAGGGGTTTCAGCAGCTTTTGCTGTAAAACTTTTTAAATCATGGATAAATGAAAAAGATATCAACGCAGTAGCTGCAAGTCTTCGGAAAGTCAGCA